CAGCTTCATTCTGTTTTTTTCCCTTTATGACTTCACACTGAGTTGAATATTAGAAAGCTAATTCAACAGAGTTAACTTTGGCAGGCTTCATCCTAACTCTGCACAAAGTTCACATCCCAAGCTGGTCTTAGCCAGACTGGTTGACACTAAACTGCCCTTTCTCGCTGAGAGATGTTTACTTGAAAAGTTCATGACCCCGCAGATCAACCACAGTGTCACGATTCATACAGGAAATTAGCGGTAAAAACGTTTCTCGAAGATGACATCGTTCACACGAGAGAGGTGGAAAATAAAGAGATGGCAGTTCGTTGTTTGCTGTCACTCGAGTTCGAACTGAGAAAATTAAGATTCAGATCAAGCGTGAGCTTAATCGCCTATGAAAACAGGAATGCTCGCTCGTTACTAATCGAATACCTCAGGATGTGCCAGCGAGAACTTCTTTGAACGGAGAAACTTTCTGAGACGATCAAAAGCAATACAAGACACCGGCAGACAGGAGACCGACACTGCTAGCTCTCCCTAGCCAGTTTGTAAAACATTTACCCTTGTGCTTATCTGACATGGCAAATACCATCCATGTTCTTTTAGTGTCAGCCAAGATCCCTCACGCTGACAGCCTGCTCTGTGGACTGCAGGGACTCTCACTCATCATGAATATTACATCGGGCCTGTTTACAGGCCTGCACATGGACAGAAGTAAGGAAGCTTTATAAAACGGCACTGTATTTTCACTTGCAGTGTTCACCCCCTCTGCAGCCTCTCTGCACATTTGGGCTATTAGTCATTCGTGAATAATTACCACATCATGTATGAGGACTGGGAGGCCATGGGAAACAGTGAGGGTCAAGAGGCTATCGAGCCCAAAAGAAAAGAAAGGGCTCGAGCCATGCCGCCACTTGTCATATTTACATGAGAGATTGCGAGAGTGGCCTGAGTGTATTGCTGGGGAGCGGAAGCAGGGAGATGTGGTTTGTGGTTTGAGTGCATATGTGTGCAGAGGAGGTGTCGGGGGGGGGTGTAGGAAGAGAGGGGAGGGGGAGCTACAGCTGCGGGGCCAACAGTTGATCCTGTCCCGGGAAACAGGATCAGCCAGGTCAGGTCGAGGGAGGTGAGGCAAGAGGTCATGACCCTGGAGGGGGGTTAAGGGAAAGACTTCACAAAGAGGTACATCTTCAAAAGCCTCGGGGAGGGAGGGCTAGTATAAGGTTGTGAAATCAAACCTTTTTTTCCTCAGTGCACGACTTTCCCCAGGTGTTTCGCTTCAATCCTTTTGAATACTGACTCGTGGCTCTGCTCATGCAGCCGCTGGAGAAGCATCACCTCAAGGCAAAGTACAGAAACAGTTGGACTGGTATCTGTGAGGCATATCAGCCTTTTATTTATATATTCTACTTTAATGACACTCCAAATGGGACACGAGACCCATAAAATGCTAATTAGATCGCATGTGTGACAGAGTGTGTGCACGCGTATGTTTACATAACATTTGAGGTCAAATCACATGCTCAAAGTTCAAAGGCTTCGCTAAGAAAAGGGCGATGAAACATCTGGGAGCGGATTCATCACACCCGTCACTAAGACGACTGGTGACAAGTGTTAGCTCTGTATGGCCTCCATGTGAATAAACAAAGCACATAAAGAGGAAAGCATCTCATTTACGCTAAAGTCGTCAGGCTTGCTGTTTCGAACAAGTTCCCATGCAGATAAACCCTTGGCCCAGCACGTTAAGTGCAGTCATTAAGTTGTTTGTCAGAGACTAAGCATCTGTAATGCCAGGAAATCATTTCTGGACATCTCGTAAGTATGAAAACGTCTGTCGTGGGACTTCCGAGTGCTCGGCCTGCAGTTGAGTCGCTGGCGGTCTTATGTGCAGCGTTTACATCCTTTTGGCCTCACGCTGAGGTCAGGAAATCAAAGAGCGAAGCCACAGACAAACAGTCGATTGTCAAGTTTTACACCTTGACCTCAGCTTAAACTCGCAGCCGCCTACTTTAAGCTTGCCGCTGCTCCGGCAATCAGAGGAAATCGAGAGGTTACTGGTAGTTCAGCCTTGATAAGAATCTTGAAATGGAGAAGTTCACCGAGGGGAAAGGTTACTGGGAGTTTAAAGAGAGTGCAGTCAGTCATGGGGAGGATTAAATAAAAGGGAAGTCAGGGCTGAGGAACTGTGCTGCAATTTCAAAAGTGCACTGCAGACAAAAAGCTGTCTGTTCACTCGCTGGACTTCATATTCAGACGGTGCAGGGGAAGTTTAGCTTGAACTTGTCCTCACCTTTAGGAAATCTCACGCTACGGGCTGTTTTTTCTCAAGTCGAGAAAACTGTCGCTAAATGGACAATTTTCCAGATGGGACACGAGAATTAAGGTTTTGTAACGAGCGCACAAAGAAGTCTATTGTAGGCTCTAAATCAAAGATATACGTTCCATTTGTGTAGGGCACATCCTTGGGCACTCGGTGCGCATCTGGTGACCTTCACGTGTCCTCCCTTCTTTCAGTGTCTTTCCTGCCTTTGTTAAAGACTCGGCAACACAGTGAACAGCAGCCAACTCAGAAGCAGGGGTTTAGGGGCAAATACAGGACATCCTCTCACTCGCTTTTAATAGACCGGACTCTTTGATTGCACGCAGCGCCGTTTGGCTTTGATGTCATTTTCTTTAAATAATAATCCTATAGTTAAAGTTCCTCACAGTCGATAAGATTAATCTCCTGTGAAACGTAGACATCTGTGCAAAATTTCATAGCAACATCAAGACTTTGTCGTCCATAAACTCAACTCAACACTAAACAAACAAGCTAATAATTGAAATATGAGGCATGCCACACGAGTACAGGGGCAGCATTTATAATCTGGAGCTATTATATTCCCATATAAAGATAAACTGGTGTTCCTCCCCGTGTCTTACGGATCGTCTTCCCTTCTAAATATTGTATCATGCTGTCAAACTAATAAGTGCTCTTAACATAACATCTTCGCTTTCTGAAATGCAACCAAATCCCCTCTGACTGCCAGATGCAGCTTCATTCTGTTTTTTTCCCTTTATGACTTCACACTGAGTTGAATATTAGAAAGCTAATTCAACAGAGTTAACTTTGGCAGGCTTCATCCTA